AAATAATTGAAACAAGTCATAAGATGTTGGGTCTCCTGAAAGACAACCTAGGCAATGCCATTCTGGACACAGGAATGGGCACGGATTTTATGACAAACAGACGAAAAGCAACAACAAAAGCAAAAATTGTCAACTGGGATCCAATTAAACTTAAGTGCTTCTGTACAACAAAATAAACTATTAGCAGGAAAAACGGGTAACCTATGGAATGGGAGCAAGTATCTGCAAACTACACATCTGGCAAAGGTCTAATATCTAGCATTGATAGGGAACTTAACAAAAAAAACTAAACAACTCCATTAAAAAGTGGGCAAAGGACATGAACATACACTTTTCAAAAGATGTACACGTGGCTAACAAGTATATTTTAAAAGCTCATCATCACTGATCATTAGAGAAATGCAAATTGAAACCACGATGAGATACCATCTCCAGTTGGAATAGCTATTACTAAAAAGTAAAAAAATAACAGACGCTGCTGATGTTGCAGAGAAAAGGGAACACTTATACACTGTCAATAGGAGTGTAAATTAGTTCAACCACGTGGAAGGCAGTATGTTGATTCCTCAAAGAGCTAAAAGCAGAATTACTATTTGACCCAGCAATCCCATTACTGGGTACATATCCGGAGGCATATAAATTGTTGTACCATAAAGACCCATGCACATGTATGTTCACTGCAGTCCTATTCACAATAGCAAAGACAAGGAATTAACCTAATGCCCATCAGCGATAGACCAGATGAAGAAAATGTGGTACATGCACACCACAGAATACTATGCAGCCATAAAGAAGAACGAGATCCTGTCTTCTGCAGGAACGCAGATGGAACTAGGCCGTTATCCTAATATCCTAAACTATGAGAAAACACGGACGCATAGAGGACAGCACACACTGGGGCCTGGATAAGGCTGGAGGGTGGAGGGGGGTGAGGACCAGAAACAGTATCTATTGGGTACTAGGCCAGTACCTGGGTGATTGAATAATCTGCACAACAAATCACTAAGACATGAGTTTACCTGTTTAACAAAACTGCTCATGTACCCCTGAACCTATTAAAAGATGCTGGGTTCCTGAAGTTCCCAGGAGGTCAGGTGGAAGAGAGAATTCTTGAGACAGGCCTGGTCAGTGAGGAGCTTTGCAGGGATGGTGGACGGGCAGGGAGCAGCAGAGGTTGGGTAGAAGAACCACAAGTCCAGGCCTGGACTCACCTCTGCCTTCCTGTGTGTGCCTAACCCAGCTTTGAGGTGAGAGCTGGGGTTCAGGAGGCTACGTACTTGCTTGAAGCTGCACATCCAGGAATCCAGATGATGGTCCCAAGTCTGCTGCGCCCCCACCCTGCTCTATTGCTACGACAGCCAATCTCCACTCAGGGGCTGCAGCTGACCAGCTGGCATTTACCAGGCTCAGCAGAGATGGGTCCAGAGCCCAGAGGAGCTGTGGCATGCCAGGTCTGGGCTGCCTGCTGGCTGCGGTCAGGATGAATCCTGTTGTAGATTGGTTCTTTTTGGCAACCACAGATTTTCAAACGTCAGTAGCCATGTGGTCTCCATGTTGGCCTTCCCATTCTGACACCACACAGGAGGAGTGTAGTGCCTGAGTGAACAGCCTCAAAATTCTATTCTAATGCCTTATTTAAAAGAAAGAGAGACCCAAGACTGAGGAATTTGAAATAAATAAGCACACCGGCTTGCCTGAACTGACTACTGCCATTCGTCTCACCATAGCTGCCTGCTGACCTCTGACTCTCCCTGCCAGTACACCTTCCAGCACCTTCCAGGGTTGGTTGCTGTAAGGGGATTGTTTTTGCTCCCAGTCCCCGTAAACATTCTGTAGGTAATTACACAGTCATGGCCCCATTTTCTCACTGTGTATTTGCCACCCTGGGTCTGTTCAGATGACAGTCTCCGGAAAACCAGGCACCTCCTCCTTGTACCCATGGCACCGTGGCAGTGCCTGGTTGCTGTCAGCAGAGAGCATTAGCTCTGAGACACCTCCTCCTTGTACCCATGGTACCGTCACAGTGCCTGGCTCTTGCATTAGCTCTAAGACACTGCTAGTTCCACATCTGGTGGTAGGGTTTTGTTTTGGTAGCTTGGTTGATTTTTCCTTCTTGCAGTATTATCACTTCAAAGAAAGCAGAAGTGGTCTTTCCACATTGTGTAAAGACCACATTAAACATATGCCACATGCTTCAGAGTAGCAGAAACTGGAAGAAGGAAGGGATTCCCCTGTGCCCGAAGGTAACCAAGTCTACATTGTCCTGAGAGTCAGGGGCTACACCTATCTGTGCAGCATTTGGAAAGGTCAGAGGAGATGACTGCGCAGTGTGTATCTGAGAAGCGTGGGGACCCTGTGCTCACCACCACCCTAATTCTCTATGAGGCAGGGGCACCTGGAGCACTGTGACCAGCACTGTCCCAGCTGCCTGCCAGGATGAGCTCTGGCTCTTGACAGTGGCCGCGACAATGGGCTTAAATTTCCTCAACTCCTTAGATACTGTCAGGTTCAAGTTACTTTAAAGAAAATTTTAAAACATGATTTTTCTTTTTTTTTTTTTTGAGACGGAGTTTCACTCTTGTTATCCAGGCTGGAGTGCAATGGCGCGATCTCGGCTCACCGCAACCTCCGCCTCCTGGGTTCAGACAATTCTCCTGCCTCAGCCTCCTGAGTAGCTGGGATTACAGGCACGTGCCACCATGCCCAGCTAATTTTTGTATTTTTAGTAGAGACGGGGTTTCACCATGTTGACCAGGATGGTCTCGATCTCTCGACCTCGTGATCCACCCGCCTCGGCCTCCCAAAGTGCTGGGATTACAGGCTTGAGCCACCGCGCCCGGCAAAACATGATTTTTCAATAAACTGATTGCCAAAAGATCTCTGTGGTTAAGGAGGCACCTCCCTCATGGTCTTTTACTTCTTGCTGCCAAGACTTCCACCTGGGCAACGGCTCTACAATCTCCAGCTGCACCACCTGTTTAGAAAAGCGTTTTTCCCTGCCCCTCTGGGGTTTTTTTCCTCCCTCTTCCAGTGGTGGTGAAATTCCAGAGGGCATTGAGTGGGTTACTCTTCACAAGCACAGAGCTAAGCTCAGTCCTGGTACAAAGCACACCCAAGGATAAGACCCAAGACCATGAGTATGTTGACCTCAGTTGGACAGAGTGGCTTCATGGGCTCCTGCCGTTACTCTGTGGGTTCCTGATGTGTTCTGCAGGTTTCTGTTGCTATTCTGTGAGTACCTGGTATTACTCTGAGGAACTGTACAGTTCTTCTGTGGGTTCTACTGTTACACTGTGAGCTCTGCTAGTACTCTGTGGGTCTTAATGTTACTCTGTGGGCTCTGATGTTACTATGTGGCTCTCTCCGTGGTTACTCTCTGAATTCCTGCTGTTATTCTGTGGATTCCTTTTTTTGCTTTGTATGTTTCTGCAATTAGTTTATCTCCTCACCATCCAGCCAGGAATTCTTTCACTAGGAATTGTGTGGATGCTGGCCAGTTGAGCTAAATTTAATATTACTATGTCCCTATTGTGGTGGTGGGCTCTTGGCTTGGCAGTTTATACCAATACTCCATATGTAGTTAGCCCTGACCCATCTGTGAAAGAAAAATAAAACCTCAAGCCTCCAAACTTACCGTGACAATGGGAAAAGTTACTATTGGCAACACACACACACACACACACACACACTGCCTTCCTTTTGTTCCCCAGAGCTTACTTTATGTGAAACGTAGATCTACTGAGGATGGGACAGATGCATAACTCTCCCCCACGCCTTTTTTTTCACATGTGAAACGTAGATTTGCTTTACTCTAATCAGAGCCTTACAAGAACGTGACCACAAGCCTCACAGGCTACTCTTCCCTTTTCCCTTTAAATACTGAAGTCCTGAAAACCCTCTTTGGAAAAACGCAAAAGCCATAAACCCTACTGCAATCGGTGTTTCTTTTTCCCCAGGCACATTCACAATTTTGGAAAAATAAGTCTCTAAATCGATTGAGATCTGTCTCAGACACTTTTTTGGTTTACACAACAATCCCAATCATAGGGATTCATTTGCAAACATACCTCCACAAGTTAAAACAAACGAAACCACAGAGCGACTGGGCATTATTTATAATGGCAACCCATCTAAAGCCCATCACAGACATCATTGAGACATTCGAATAAATTGATACATTTATAATATGGACTAATCTGCAACCCTGAAAGGAAGGGCATAGAGAAGGAAAGGAAGAAAAGGAGGGAGGGAGGGACAGACAGGTGTTTAAATTGGGGCTGTGCAAGCAATATTGCCTACCTCCTTACCTTCACATTATTTAAAAGCATGTGGTCAAGAAACCTTATTATAATAGACACATCGGAAATAACTTCTAAAATTACTTTTCCAAAATATGAATCCATACTATACACTTCTTGCCATGTGCTCAAACGTAGATGCACACATTTTAACAAGGAAAAGACCAATACTCATATTTGCCTGCTAGACGCCATACGCTATTTTAAAAGTTGTGCACACGCTAACTCATTTGTTCTTACAGAAATCCTGTAAAGTGCACCGCCACCTCCATGTTTCTAGGAGGAAACCGAGGCAGGGGGCTGAGGTTCCCGGACCCACCTGGCCTTCTCGGCCAGTCTGCCTCCCTCCCTCCTGCTGCCGCACATTCTTTGTTCCTAATTGGAAAAAACTATTCGCGCTGCTCCTCCAGGGAATTTCAACCTTCTAGAAAGATCTGACAAGACTCGAAACTTTATAAAGAGAAGGTGCTTGTGCCTAAATGCTAAGTTTGAGCGCGCGCCATGGCAGGGAGTGGAGGCACTCTGGGCTTGGCGCCCAGCCGGGTGGAAAAACGATCGCAGAGTGGAAATGCGCGGTGGGCGGCCCGGGATCCCGTGGGGACCCGCGCGGCGCGGGCATGCGCATGCTCTCACGGGCACGCCCATTCTCGGGGACGCGCGTCTTCAGGACACGCGAACGCCTCAAGGCCCTGTCCGGCTTACTCCAGTGAAGAGCTGGACCGACGTCGTCTCCCACCTCGCAGGCCTAAATCTCGGGGCCTCATCGGCATCTCCGGGCGATGGCAGAGGTCGCGGGTACCGACTCTGCCCATTCCTCCGCCTCCGCGCCCGGCACTCGGGACTCGCGCGGAGGGGCGGTGCCTACTACGCAGGCGCACGCTACGAGTGTCGGGACCCTGTCGCTACCCTACTACGCGATCTACGCTGGCCAATCAGCGGGGCCAGGGGCGGGGCTTCCCTGCAGCGCGCCGGGAGGCGGCGGCCCACTTCCGGCAATAATCGCCGCGTCGCAGTCAGGTGCGGGCCCGGGCTACCGGCGCGCCAGGTGGGCACTGGGCGCCGCGGGTGCTTCAGGTGAAGACGGGGGCCACAGGCACGCTAGGTAGGTACAGGCTGCCGCAGGCGCGTCAGGTGGGGACGAGGTCGGCGGGAGCGTCAGGTGAAGACGGGGGGCCGCGGGCGCGTCTGGTGGGGACTGCCAGCCCTGGGCGCGTCAAGTGGGGTCGGGGTGCGGGGGGCTGCAGGCGGGTGTAGAGGGTCTGGGAGCCGCGGGCGAGTCCATTGGGCACGGGGGCCGCTCACGGGTGCACCGCGTCTCCTCAGCCGCCGCCTCCGCCCACCATCTGCGACCTCTTCCCGCCCCCACCTTCCTGGGCCCTCTGGCAGGCCCGAGCTCGTGTCCGCCTGGCTGGACAGGGTATCGGGGACGACTCCTGCCCGCGTTTGCTCTCTGGCGCGGCCCTTGCGTCTTCGCCGGTGGAAGCCTGCCCGGGTGCGACCCCGCATTTCTCCAGGCCACTCTGCCGCATCTGCTGGTTACCTCCTTACCCCTGGTCTGCGGCTCCGACTCTGGCTTCTCCTTCCCATGCTGATTTTTCTTGCAGCAGACGCTTAGGCATATTCATCCTTCCCTCACAGTAAGCTCAGTTTGACCTTTGTCTCAGATTCCGTCTCTGTCCTTGGGCCTATTCAAACTCATTTTGAAAACAGAATCTAGAGAACCGTTTCTTCCCTTGTAAAACTGTCTCTTGCCGCTTCCAAATCCTTACCATCAGGCCCTAATCGGAAAAGACGTTTCCTCTTCCATATTCTGCTTTCTCCTCATCTTTACATGTTTTTCTTTTCCATGAGGACTCTGTGATTTTCTTAGTCCTTCTCAGAGTAAATCTTATTTCTGACTCTTGGCCCTCAGTTTGCCATTTTTCGATGTCCTTCCTGGATCAAATTTGGCCACACTTAAGAGCAAAACAAATAGTGAAACACATGCGGTTTTTAAAGATGGATTGGAGTTTTCCTTCCTGTCTTGTTTTCCTTGTCTTAGTGCCTTTATATTTAGATCCATCATTACTTGAGATCATATTAGTGATATGTAATAGACGGTAACAAATGTTAAAAAAAAAAACAAAACAGCTTATAATTAAATGGCATCTGTTTTAATAGAGTTTTCAGGAATTGTTATTACAAGTATATAGTGGTTAGGAGCATGAATCCTGGAGTGAGACCCCATCATTTTGAATCCCAGCTCCACTAAACTCTTTGCCTCAGTGTCTTCATCTATAAAATACATAATTAAACTTATAAACAAGAATAATGTTTTCTACCTTTGAGGACACTGTGAGGATTAAATGAGGCAATGTACGTAGATTGTTTAGAGTAATACCTAGACTACAGTAAGCTCTAATAAATGTTTGCCATTATCATTGCTAAAAAAGAATATCCTTGTTGAAGGAAATACCTTTTTTGGTTCTGATTCTCTCATGCCAAAAGTTTCCACCAGCAAGTGAACTTCATGAAATCTCTTCTACTGAAGTACCCCACCCACATGTCCTACCACTTCAACTGGAAATTAAGGGGAAATTTAAAATAGTTCATCATTGTAGGCTCTCTGAAATAAGTTGGCATAAAATCTGCTTAAAATTTGCAAATTATACAAGCTATACCCTTTGAGAGCTTGCTCTTAAAAATTTACTAATTTTCAGGGGTAATTTCTGGTTTTTGTGTTTGCAAATTCCCAGAACAAAGATAATTTTAATTAAAATAAGTGTATACAGCTTTAGCAATTCACATTTTCTTTTTTTTAGCTGAACAAATAAATTCCCGTTAAAAGCAGTGGGTCATCATTCTGTACAACTTTGGTAATATCGTTTACTGATCTACAAACTCAGATGCCTCAGATCGGGAGTATTTTTGAAACTTGAGATCCAGACCCTAGACCTTTTTTTTTTTTTTTAATTTTATTTTTTTCTGAGACGGAATTTTGCTCTTGTTACCTACGCTGGAGTGCAATGGCACGATCTCGGCCCACCGCAACCTCCGCCTCCTGGGTTCAGGCAATTCTCCTGCCTCAGCCTCCTGAGTACCTGGGATTACAGGCACGTGCCACCATGCCCAGCTAATTTTTAGTATTTTTGGTAGAGATGGGGTTTCACCATGTTGACCAGGATGGTCTCGATCTCTTGACCTCGTGATCCACCCGCCTCGGCCTCCCAAAGTGCTGGGATTACAGGCTTGAGCCACCGCGCCCGGCGACCCTAAACCTTTTAAATGGCGACTTGTCTTTCATTTGTTATTATTTTTAAATAAATATTAATCCAGAGTTTGTGCTTTAGCTCATGAACTGTATAGATTATGGTTTAAGATAAAACTTCATTGTGATCCAATGAGCATACCATGACAAATCTGCAAAGTGCACACATCTTCAGAGAAACAAAGGTTTTCCTCTGTGTTGAAAATAAAACCCTTGGTCGTGGCCTATTTTTTATTTCCATGGTTCATTAGCTGCATCTCATTCCTTTCAACTCTTACAAAATCAAACTTAGCAGCTAAGAAATTCAGACCAAACTATTCATTTCTCACTGAGTTACTAAAATCACTTATCTGTAGAGTTTAGGTAGTTGTAAAACAATTGATTATATGAATGGAAACACCAGGCAGGCTTTTTATGTAAATGTTAAGGGGATTGTTTGTGAAACTAGAAAAGTGTATTAAATGATGAGTGGGCTTAGTGTCTAAATAGATAAGTATAATGTTTGTGTCTCATCAAGTTTTAAAATATTTTGTTAGCTGAGGATACCAGGGTCTACATTAGACAGTCATCTAGTTAAGGTTCTGTTGGCAAAATGTTTGTTGCCTAGTTGTTTTTTTCTGTCTCCATGTTTTTCATTTGATCTATCCTACAAGCTCTAGAAAATGATTATTTCAAAACAGCACTACTCACTGATCTATTGCTGAAAAACTTTTACTTACAGAATAGAGTCTAAATGCCTTTGATATTCTTCTATGATCTGGCTTCTGGTCACTTTTCCAGTTTATGTACCAATCCTCCCATAAACTTTCTCCATTTTATCCAACCTTTTCTGCTTATTTTTCTCAAATTGTCACATACTTTTTGACCTCTATACTTACTCACCCACCATTCCTGTGACTTTTTGCCCATGCCTCTCCATTCATTTACGATCTAACCATGTGTTAAGATCTAACCATGTGTTAGGGCCAAGATCAAGTACCAGTTTCTCCTCAGAGCTTTCCCACCTGATTTGTTTTCTCCTCAAATTTATTTTGGTTATTCTCTCTTTACAAGTTACACAACTGTACATGTGTATATGTATGTATACATACACACACACATATCTACATGTAACATACTTTATTATATTACATATGTATAGAATTTGTGTGTGTGTGTTGCTATTTTTCTTTTTTGGTTCCTTAGCTAAATCACACAGTCTTGAGGGCAGGAACATACAGCATGATAACATTTAGTTGGTGCTCAAATGTTTATCATTGAAGTAATCCTGTATTTGGTTTGTTAGCAATATTTTTCAGGATTATCCACTTGATCTTTTTTAAAACATAGATTTCTGAATTCACAGTTTCAGGTTGATATTGAGAGATAATCTGACATTTATCAGAGATGTTCCTAGCAGCTATTTTTCAGTTGTACAAGTGTTTTATGAGACTCAAGGTGCCACTTCAAACAGTCATCTGCTACTTCATGCTCTCTGCCACCTTGGGTGGGAATGTTCTTGAAGATCATAAAATCAGCTGTGTGCTATTAGAGACAGTCTTAGATAACTGTAGATTTATTGAACATGGGCAGTGAGTTTTGCATTTCAGGATGTTCAGTAGTTGTGAAGCAGGTCTATGAGACAAGGTTTATCAAATCGTGCTGAAATCTAAGGAAAATTTAAAGTATTTTCTAAAGCAAGAATTTAATCATTATGTGACTGAAAAAGAAATATTCTGACTCTAAGTCAGTTTAGCAAGGTTTTCAGATTCTCTTTGTGTAAAGATTATATCATTATACATTTCCTACACCATCAGGAATTAAGCATCTGTGGTTGATCCAGGAATATTGTTGAAGTCAGTGTAATTTCCTTTTTTTTTTTTTTTTTGTCTCTTCTAGGATTGTGTAAGTGCCCATTTAATAGCTTGCTTTTTTGTTAATTATACTAAATATAGTTGGGAGGCGGTATTTGGAGATGTTCATCTCTTTATTCTCCATGATGTAAATATTTTGCATTATTCTCTATGATAAAAATATTCTACATTGTGAAATACTCTTTTAAGTCTGTTTTGGACATGAAATTAGAGTAAGACGTTACAGAAACCACTCTTGCTTGAGTAATTCAGCTACCTTTCTGTAGCTAAATTCAATGTATATTTTCAACTCTTGCCATGCATGGCTTTTTTATAACATTTTCATCTTTGTTGATTATATCTTTCTTGAAATCCTGACTTCCTCTACCTCTTTGGCACTTCCTTTGCAGTTTTTCTTCTTGACTTATCTTCATCTGCTAGTCCCTTAAATGGAGTTTTTTCTTGGCTCTCTTGATTTCCCTCTCTACATATTATGTTACATTATTTGTGTGGTTTTGATTAGTATCTAAATGCTCATGATTTTTCTTTATTTGTGTCCAGCCTAACTCCGTTCTGAACCATGGATCTATATATTTATTTATTCATTCAGTAAATATTTACTGAGCTCGAGTTATACTTCTGGCATTGTTCAAGGTTATAAAATACAGAGCTGAACAAGGCATAGCATTCTCTTGTAGCAAAACATGATAAACACAGTGACCATTTCAGACAGCCCTTACAGCTACGAAGGCACTAGATAATGGCATAGACTGGTAGG